AACGAACTCCCCGTGTTCAAGGTACGAAGACCACTTAGCCACTGGTGGGTTTCTTTTACCGAAAGAGAATTCGACTCGAAGGATCTTCCGATGAAGTGCTACCCATTAATTTTTTGGAGGGGATTCCCCTTCTAAGCATTAGGTTCATATATCTCCACTTTTCTGCCACCAACTACAACAAATGAAGGTATGTACAGTACAGTGCTATTTTATTAAACAAAGTTTACATGTTTGTTGCTGTAATGATAGATACTACGTTTTCCTACATTTTCATCAAAGAAAATTACTGTATATTGCAAATAAAATCACAAAAATTTCGGAGACTAGAACGGATTAATTGCATTTGCATTAATTTCTATGGGAAAAATTGCTTTGGTTAACGAACGGAGTCGCGGAACAGATTAAGTTCGTTAACCGGGGTTCCACTGTATTCTAAAAAAATTTTTAACCTCATGAAATTTAGTAATAAATATAAACTTTTATTTATTATTATTATTTGTCTCAAGCAAACCTGGTACATAAAACCATATTTTCATATCTAATAGTTTATTTTTTGTTAAAAATTTACTTTGCAATTTTTACATAAATATAAAAATCTATAAGTGAATATTATATTTTATATATATATATTTTTTTTGAAAGAAATATTAAATATTTGAAATTAAACATATTTGCTCCTATATTCTTGTAAAATCTGAAGTTGAAATGTCTTCATTTACTCTGGTATTTCTCACACAGACTTAACAAGAATATATTATAATGATTACAAGTTACAGAATGTTCACACAACTAGCCAGATGCAAGAGAGATCTTTCCAGTATTGATCAAGTATATGCATAGCATAGCCTATGGAGCATTGTAATGGAACTAATGTTTGCAGTAAAATAAGTTAATAAAAACAAAAGGAACATGTTAAATTGCATAGTAATTCCAAGGCAATACATAAATTTTTCCAAGCACAAGGATAACATAAGAGAACCGTTTTAAGATGTTTTAGCATAATGTACAAAGATTCTCTGTGTAGGACAAAAATCAAGACTGCATAAATTAATACAAAAACAGTTAGCTTTATTTCACTATACTACATGTTCAAAATGGTCCAAATCTTCAGCAGCAATAAAAGTGTAGATGGTCAAGAGTGGCATTATGGATGGCACTTAGCTTACCTGGTATCGTGTTTTAAAAGCTCATGTTCACTTTAGCTCATCATCATCATGTGTCACTTCTGGATACACATTGAACACCAATGCTTTAAAATGACCCTACAAGAAGAGTATAGGTCAAGTTCAAAGAATATAGTGGCCATGGAATAGGAACATAATGTCCTATTCATTGGTTGTCAAACAGCTCTCCCAGGCAGATATGCATCAGTGTTCCAATGATAATTCATACCATTTGTCTTCCAAGTGTAGGTTATTAATATAGCAGTCACTAGTCTGGATGCCATCAATAAATACAGGATAAATAATCTGCTCCATATATCATACCAGATGTTTAGTGTAAAATATATTGTGTTTCATGATGTATATGAAAAAAACAATACAGGTATGTCCAGTAGTGCATGTTATGGCAGTAAAATAGATCTTCATCAGTCCATAAAATGTGCTCAAGCAGTTCTCATTTGTCCTGGCTGAATTTAACATCCTGTTTTACCAGTCAAATTACTTCCATCATCATCCATGTTTTGTATCAGTAACAGATTGCCATAACATGCATTCATTCAACTGCTATGTAAAATTCAATATAGCAAGAACTGCAGCAGCCACAAATATTTCATGTATGCTTGTATATGAATATATGTGCATGGAAGTACTATATCTTTGATGTCTTCTACCATTTCCCCCCCTTCTTTTTCAATTTTAGTCTTCATGAAAGGAATATATTATTACTATAAATTTCTCATACAACTGCCAATAATAATAATAATAATAATAACTCTCCTGTGGTCACCACCTGGTCGTGGTGGGAGAGACTAGTAATTTTACTGATCTATAGGGCAATGCAGGCTGGAGCACAAGCTCCTGGTAGGGACACCCATGCCAGTAAGGTCTATGGGGAGAAATGAAGCTAAGACCACACCCACATTCTGTGGAGATATTTATCATGGTAATAACCAGATCAAAGTGTGATACCAGCTCAGATGTCGCCCGGGTTAACAAGGTCCGCGTTCGTGGGTTAGGCAGAGGCTCACGTTCGAAAAATAGGCCGCAGTCTCCCTTGGTTACCAGTGGTGAAAGCAGCGCCGGCCCAAGTATGGCTACTGCAATGCCCTCAACAGATGTGAGGAATCAACCTAGCCTTGGTGTTTCTGTGGCAATGCATAACAGACCACAAAGGCTGGAAGATCACACCAATGGATGAAATGGACATCAGAAATGAACGAGTTTATCATCCGTACTTACTACGCAATCACAAAACTCGAAACAAACATGACAGCATACAGACACAACTATAGATTCACACAACAATATCCTCACCTCACTGTCACCAAACAAAGGGTTGTCGATCAAAAAAGAACAATTATACACAACAACCTTATCCCACAAACAACACTTGAACTTATCAAACAACAGGTTGTTGATCAAATACATCAACAGACAGAAACACTTAACATTAATGAAGATCATGTAACCTGTCAGGATAATCCAGCAACAAGCATTGATAATAGCACACATACAACAACTACAACTAATGATACTACAGGCAACAAGCATTGACTAAAAACTACAGAAAACACATACTGAAAGATATAACACTCACAAATGACACATGCAGAAAATGTCACATCATGCCAGAAATTATACAACACATTACTTCTGGGTGCAAGCTCTTGGCACAGACAGATTTTGGTTAATACAGACATAATCAAGTAGCAAATATAATACACCAAGAGCTTGCAAACAAATACAAATTATTAGATATCCACGAACCATACTACAAATACATTCAACAGACAGTATTGGAAAACAACACGCACAAAATGTACTACGACAGAGCCATAATCACAGATAAAACAATTTACCACAACAGACCAGACATCACACTCATTGACAAACACAATAAAATCACATACATTATAGACATATCCATTCCAAACATTCACAATATTGATACAAAACACATGCACTGAAAAAATTAGCAAGTACACAGAACTCGCCCAGGAAATAAGGCATCTGTGGAGGATGGAAAGGGTGCTTATTGTACCTGTTGTTCTCTCCTGTACAGGTGTGATAACACACACACTACATAAAAGCCTGGGAACATTACAATTGAATAGAAATACATACATCACACTACAGAAGGCCACTATATTGAATACATGCCATATTGTTAGGAAATTCCTGAATACAGACATTGATACACTTATTTAATTTTAGTTTTTGGTTGCTATGCCTTGACTTTGGTCCAGTATAGTACACAGCAACCAGTGCGAACCGAGTATAACCCACTAAACCCACATAATAATAATAATTGTAATTGTATAGATATTATTATCAGTTCATGTTTATTGTGAACTAGTGAATTTATAAGATGCACACAAAATCTGCATTGCAATGAATATAGATTCTGAGGAAAAAAGATTCCATATTTACAAATCTTGACAAAAAAAACCATATGTAAATACTAATTTTCTAGTTTAATATAATATGAATGAAATGTTAATATATAATTCACACTTTCTTTTCTCAGCTGCACTGAAGGATGTTCTATCTGCATTCAGTTCTCCAGAAAATGTTGCCAGATTAGAAGAAGCAAAAGATAATGCAGGAAATGATATGTTAAAACACATGCAACTGGTCTTTCCTGTGGCTACACAAATAGAAATGGATGTTATACAAAATTATGGCTTCCCTGGAGATGGAGAAGGTTGTTGTCATTTTTGTTTTTTATTTTTAAATCATCATAGAATATACTTATATAAATAAATTATTCTTTTTAATTTTTATACAATTCTGTGAAATTGATGTATGGAACTACAGAATTTATTTAATTTCAGGAGTCATTCAATTTGCTCAAGCTATAAAGCAATTGGAAAGAGAACATCCAGACATTGCTGAATTGAATGCTGAAGTAAGAGCTCATCTCATTCCTCCTATGGTTTTTCCATCTCAACCACAAAATTAATTTAAATTTTTAATATATATACATGTCAGTTATTACAAATCTTATATATATATATGTCAGTTATTATGTTTGTACTTTTATGAAATGTATTGTCAAATATTAAATACCAGTACTTTTTTACATAGTAAAAGTTGTATTTATTATCAGGTATGAAATCCATCAAATATTTGGATAAAATAAAACAATAAAAATTTAAAACTTTATTATTCTTTTCTTATTCAATATACTTTTTTAATTTATAATTGTTCAAATATTAGAAGACAGTTAAAATTATCATAAGACGTGATGAAAAACTTTCCTTAAAAAATGAAACCTATAGCAGACATTACCAATTAATTATAACAGGTACTATTATCTTCTACAGACAATTTGCTTTTAGCATTTAATGTAATAGAGTTTTTTAGTGTAGCAACTATTTTACATGACTAAATAATTGCCAATTGTTTTGATTTGAGTACAAAGTAATATCAAGAGTGCATATTTTTCATATTGACTATAACCAACTCTATTTCAATTATATCTTCTGAAATTGATAGCAGCAGCTCTATAATGTTAATATCTATTTGGTCTAAATAAAATTGGTTTATGAAAGATCAAGAAAAAATAAAGTTGAACATTTTATTCTTATAAATACAGTAATAAATTAGATGTTACATTGTTAATATTCTTGAACTATGTAATTTATAAGGATTGTTCTAAAATGAGATCAATTTAGCTCTTTTTTCTTATTTTTGAATTTCAAGAAATTAAAATACTATATTTATTCTAATATACAGCTTGCTATCTGTAACTTTTATCAGCTTGTATCTGCACTGTTTATTAGAGAGCACCTATTATTTCTGTTCTTTGGAAATTAGATTGAAGTGAAAAAGTTAGTGAATTCAGAGCATCAATGCAACACTCAACAAATACATATTATATTTCAACATAAAATAAGAGTGACAATGCTAAATAGAATGAAATTGTGAGCCCGAGGGGTTTGAGTTCGAAAATTTTTAGGGTTAACATATTTTTTCATTAGAGGATGGAAAAAAATATAACGGAAATAGATCGGATGTGGAATCTTATACATCGTCCGTTTGTCAATTAGTCAAAGTGCACGTGCTAATTAGTCAGAATAACGAGTGAACGACCTGTTGGCTCAGTGCCAACGACGATCGTATAAAAACGATTGTCACGGGAAGTTCTGGGCGATCGTCCCCTCAGTGCGACTGTCCCTCCGCGCGATCCTCAGGAAGGTCTGAATACAGTGTCTCCCGTCCCGATCCTGTCCGAGGAGAAGCCGGTAGAAGACATAAGCCTGTGACAGACGGCCAGCTTCCATAGTTCAGAAGGATCGTCGCATACCGTCCTCCGACATAAGCCGCCCATATAACTCTCTTTGTAACTGACCGCCCATATAACGCTCTTTGTAAACTCTCACGCGGCATAGTGAATAGTTACAGCTCCCTTATAGATAAATTTATGTTATCCGCATCTAAGCTATAATCAGTAACTTGTATACTCCTGTAAATTTCTTTAGTTATATAATAAACCTTTATTTTGTTCTTTGTTAAACCTGTCTCCTGTTTATCCGAGGAAACCTGTCGACTTACCGACGCACTCCCCACTCGATTTGCCCTCCTAGCCATCCTACCACTCCGAGATCGGGCTTTACCAGCCTGTGCAGATTAAGTGGTCAGTACGAGATTGACCCCTGACCCACTGCGTATCTCACAAAATTTTTCAGTTTAAAATAAATATTATAGAAAAAAGTTATCTTTCTCCAATACAAAATCTTAAAGCTGTGCTGCTTATCAGAATAAATATGGTAGAAATAAATTGGCTTTTCAAATTGATAATGAACCTGTTTAAACTAATTTAACTTAGATAATACTTGAATTTTTAGCTCTCTGAAAGGATAATGAGTATTACAATAAACATATCTTGTTTAAAATATAATAAAACTAAATACTGAATAAGAAATGGCTTTAAAATTATTAAAATTTAAAAAGTAAAAGATCTATACTGGATGTAGAAATCAATAAATATATCTATTGCAGATGAAATAACAAGTTATTCCTCTTGATCACACACAAAAACTTGTCAGAATTTCAAGTTTTATTATAAAATTTTCTTTAAAATATTTTTATCACTGAGAAAATAATAGAATAATAATAAATCTGAAGTTCAAGAAATGTATATGTAGAATAGGAGCAATCAATATAATAAAATAATCAAAAAAATTTCCTTTACTATTTTTGATTATTTTGCATTTAATAATAATTTCATAAATTGACTATCATTCAATAGCTAAAAGAAATCTGCCTACTAACAAGCAGAAATGATTTTCACTCTTACCCCATAATCAACCATCTGTGCTCATAGATGGTTGACTATGGGGTAAGAAGCTAGTTGCATAGGTTGAAGATAAAGCCCTTGTCTTAATATCCTTGTCTTATATCACAATAAGCTATGTTTTGTTAGAGCATGCTTCAAATAAGAACTGTTCAAATTCCATTAATATATTTAAATTAATAGATCTTTAATTCAATTTTAGTAATTGAAAATAATAAATTAAAAGTAATAGAAGTATTAAGCAGTTAAATAAGTTATTATATTGCATTTGTATGTTTATAATTATGGAATAACTATTTTCTGCTGTAACAAGTAACAAATATTTGTGTTTAACATAATTTAATGAAAAAAAAATTCTACAACAGTACAAGATTAAATTCCTCAATCTTTGCAAATAAATGTTGAAAATTGGCAACTACTGTATATGCATGTGTTCTACAAAGAACTATCAGTCTAAATGTTTATATATAAACATTTTATAAATGAATCATATACTGTATTTAAAAGAATTTAGGTTCTTAAATGAGTAAATAAAAATAAGTTTTTATTCTAATATTACAGAAATTATAATAAATAAACTAAGGATAGAAACAAATTAGAAAAATTTCAATATTTATTAAACATATTTTATTGCAAAATTCATTATTGATTTTGAAACTGTATTGAGAATTTATAAAATAAATAGTTTCAGTTAATTCATAAAACACTTTGATATATTAAATATGTAAACATTTTATTCTGATTTACTTGAAACATTTAAAAATAATTTTATATTAATTTATTAAAAATATTTAAAATAGTTACATTTTTATTACAAAAATAACAATATAATAGATTTATACTATAATATTTAAAGAAAAGAATAAAAACTTAACTCTAAATTATCATTATGGTGAAATTTGCAAATATAACAAATATCAATTCATTTATTACTTATTTTAACATCAATAAAAATATAAATTTACTTTTAAACTCAAATCTCAGAATGCTTTTTAAAAATATTACTTCAATCATATTCAAAATAACAATACTGTTTATTTATGTTGTTAATTAATCTGTTTTTATGATAGAATTATTCTGAATCATTGATACAGAAACTAAATGATAATCAATGCACGAGACAATAAATATACACTACAACTTATCATATAATGAAATACATCAACTGCTGGCATACCCAGTACCTTACCTTCTGTGCCTACTATTATTGCAGCAACTGGAATTATGTGAATGCCAACAGCACCCTGCCAATTATAATGGGTAACACACAATCCACCAACAGACACAAAGGATGTGACTTGCTGAATCTGAGTAAGAACTTTGCTAAGCTTATTTGGTAAAGTTTTGAGAGCAAAGACAATTACAAAAATACTAAGCACATGAATCCAGCCAATCATGGCTTTGTTATATACAAAATTAAAATTGGCTGCCAGCAATGAAAATCCAGCAATGGAAACCCACCATGTTGTCTTTTTATGAAGGGAGATTAATTTATTAGGTGGAGATGAAAAACCTGTGAATGATAAGAAGTTTGAAATTCCAATAAATTTCATATGTGAAATAAATTAATTTTATAATTAATTTCAAACATATAATAAGATTTTTTCAAATGAATTTTATGATTAGTTTGTATTATATGTTTTCATTAATGACATAATCTTCATGTACTTATGAATATGAAGCAAAATATTTAAATGCTTTATAAAATATCTTTTTATACTTTAACATTATGCAACATAGTATATCATGCATTTTAGGTACAACAGTCAATTTTAACAAGCATTACTTTTAGTGACAAAAATTTGAACCATTAATAAACAAATAAATCCAATCCAATTAATATATAAAGGTAATATATTAAATACTGAATAGATCTTAATTCCTATTTAAGTAATAGGATATTAAAATGACCATTTTCTAAAAACACATTAAAATATTTTTATTACTATAACATATTCTTCACTTTACAGTTTACTGAATCATCTTATAATTGATATGGTTAGTTAATGAACAAGGGCTGTTTTTTTTTTAATTTGATGCTTAAAACATACTCAAATTTACCAATTCTGATCTATATTGGCAATTCCAACAAACTATACAGGGTACTATATAAATTCAAAATACAGAATGTAAACAAGGTAAGTTTATTTACATTGACATTAAATGATGTTTTACTTGTTAATGTATGCATTGCTTTACATTATTTGAAAAAAAGGTAAAAGATTAGTCAGATTTTGGTTAACATGATTCTTATTAGATCATGTTTTCAACTTCCACATTTATTATACATCTTATAGAATCTAGTTTTACTGTTTGTAAAGGATTACATATACATTTGTATTACTGGAAGTTCATAAAAATGCTAACATATCTGTACATTTTATTTGCTTGCTTATAGCAAAGTTGCATTTTAACATAGGTTATTAAATAAAAATAAGCTTGACATTAAAATATTTTAAATTCAAAATTTAGCATAACTCTCATATAACACTGAATTTTGATCACATGGTTTCCTATAACATTGCTGAAGAATTATGGCAAAGCTCTCGTAAGTGTTATTTTTTATGTTTTGTGCAAAAAAATTTGCTATTATGTTAGATGTAATTTTTTGACATTTCCATTCTTTTTGTGAATCTCCACTGTTGATTCACTACCCACTGAAAAACAACAACAAAAATAAAATATTGAGAAATTTGAACACCATTTTATTAGCTGATCTCTATGTTGTGTTGCATGCTACCTAACTTGAACTTGTTTGAAACTATTAAATATAACTGAAATGTACAATTTGTGGCAACAATGCTCAAAAATATTGACAACACAAACATGAACTGTTATTTCTTGAATAGGCATTAATATACAGGGTTAGCAAGAAATAAGTTTCCCACTTCAGAGAGCTCTGGAGTGCGTTCTACTGCTCGAAATGAGACAAAATTTGGACTACAGATAATTCAAATGATGCACTTGATATTTCTTAAATAAAAAAAAAATAGTACAAAAATTTATTGATAGGTGGTGCTGAGTACACAGAAATATTAAATATGCATGCACATATAAATGTTGAATATTGTATATGTAGCACTAAAATTGCTGAATATGTCCTCCTTCATTTTGAACAACATGCTCTAATCGCAAAACCATATTTTTCACAGCTAAACGCAGTGAGTCTGCTGGAATATCCAGAACATGGCACCGAATGCTGTCCTTCAGATCTGGCACAGATGCAGGTCTTCTACAGTAGATGGTGTCCTTCAGGAAACCCCATAACCAAAACCCTTCAATATTTCTGTCTGTTACAGCGCTACCTATTGACGGATTTTTGTACTATTTTTTTATTTAAGAAATGTCAAGTGCATCATTTGAATTATCTGTAGTCCAAATTTTGTCTCATTTTGAGCAGTAGAACACACTCCAGAGCTCTCTGAAGTGGGAAACTTATTTCTTAACTCTGTATTTTAATTTTCTTCAATAAAAATTTTTGATGTCATATACTGTATATTCATTGATATACATATTTGAAAAAAACATAACAGTGTCTCAGTAATTTTCTGGAAGTTTTGTGCAAATTAGTATCTTACAGTTATCTATTTAGTTTTAGTATTTTATGATACAGTACAATTTTATTAGGGAAAATTATTTTTAATTTCAGTTATGAGCCATAAATTAAAAAAAAATGTGTGTGGAATTGCATAAGCTTATAGCATCTTATTATGAAGAAAAATTACAGAATTTGTTAAAAGAAGTTACTCAACCATGCATATAAAATAAAAAGATATAAAAAAAAAATTGTATTCACAACAAAATAAAATCTGATCCAAAATTTTTACTTAATGACTATGACAAGAGATGGATCATTAGACTAGTCAAGAAAGATCCTGAACAGTTATTTGTATGTTTAGTATATTTTGACTAAAAAAAAAAGTTTAAAAATATACACAAATCACTAATGTGGTTGAATATATTTAACACAAACAACTTTGAAATTTTGTTTAGTATTTCAAAACTTTATTAATGTTTTTTTCAAAGATTTTCCTTAAATTTTACTTTATTTGATAAAGTTCATATAATACAACAATCTTAAGTAAAACAAACAATTAAGCAATTGAAGTTAGCAAGGCTATAACAAAACAAAGAATTCCCCAGAATTTTTAAAAAGTTTATTTTATAGATTAAAAAGCAAAATTCAAGTGAAATGATGTAAAAGTTGGAAGAAAAAGAATTCAAAGTTTCAGCCTCAAAATGCTGTATGTACTGTAAAGCTGAATTTAAATTCTTGCATGTAGCATCTAGTATGTCTTATGTTTGTTTATGTGCAGTAAAATGACATCACATCCAAGTGCTGAATCCCAAGTGGATATTTTGAGGAAAACTGGCCCCTATTCAGATGTTAGAAATGTGAATAAAACCTGAAAATTGACACTGCCAACCCATTGGTCAGGCATGAATCTACAACCAACTATCAGTGTTCAATAGTTTTGGTCATTGGTAGGCATTGTAGGAGCAAAGTGATTGCCCCTCCATGTTTTTAATTGTTTTAACATGTCTTTTTAATGTCAGTCAATAAAACCAGAATTTCCACTAATTATAGTCTTATTTACTTTTTCTTTTCATATTTTGGTTCTATTCTACTCTACAAAGAGGGCCTTTTTTCAATATTCAGCATAGGTTCATCTAGGCCCGCAATGAAGACAACTAAGTAGTATGGGATAAGGTTCCAACATATCTAGGACAGACAGCCATAAAAATTCTCAGGTCCCCAGAGCAGTAAACTGATGCTTTAATCAGACATCATGGGATTATAACAAATCAAAAATCTGAAAAAATAGCTGTTGACATTTATCAGTACAAAAATTAACATTTAAAAATTTTTATCTGCCTACAATAAATAAAATTCATAAATTTTATTTTCTTCAGTATCTTTATGGAAAAATGTTTCTAATAAAATGTTGTTCAATTTGCTTTTATGTGTAGCTGTCTTTTTTTTTTCTTTTTGCATCAGTGTGAGCAACCTCAGAAGGCTAAAAAAAATTCTGCATTGCAGAATTTTCTTTTCTTATAATATAATTCATTCAAAATAACTTTTTCAAAAAATAATTAAAATTATTTTTAATGTAACTTTTACAAAAAATCATTGTATGTATAATAATAATAATAATTTAAAATCATTGATTATGAAATGTGAAGCAAAAATATATATTTATTTTTATAAAAATTTTAAATTTAATAATCTGAAAATACTTCATTATTTTTTTGTTAAAAATTGAACTTTATAATTCATTTTAATAATAAAATAATGCATCTATCTTATCTCATAGCAAATTAATTTTAAGTTATCAGACTGATATAGAAAGATAAAGTTAATACTGCAAGCTTTACAAGTTTTGCAGTAAAAGCCAGCAGCTTTTACTGCAAGTTTCCTTACAAACTTTAGTTAATGTCAATAAAACAATATTTGTACTACTAAATTGCATACTAGTCTAGAGAATGATTATCTTTAAAAATTAATAATAATAAATAAAATAAAAAATATTGTTAATTGATTGGAAGAAACATTTAGCTGGCTGATTAACCATCTAAAACCAAACTTTGGATAAACATGGCATTAAAACATTCATTTTGCCATTTATATTAGTTATCGAATTAAGAAATAATGATGAATTTTTTTAAATTAAAAATTAAATAAATAGCCCTGTATCAAATAATGTTTCCAAAGTTATTTTTTTAATGTATTTAAAATTGTAAATAAGATAAATTAGATTTTATGTTAATTGCATTTTTGAATTATACTCTAAAAGATAAAAGCTAAATAAAAATTTATTAATTTATTTAAAATACTCACTAAAACGAATTGTTCCCAAAAAAGCAGCAACGGCAATGAGTAAGAAACAGCTTATACCAAATAATGGTGTTTCTTCCAGTTTCAGAGTGGATGAAAAAAAATGGAGATGCCAATTTGCAGATGATTCATGTAATCTCCAAGCTGCTAACAGAGAAGAAACTGCCAACGTTCCATCAGATAAAGAAGTCGTTAATTTTCTTCCCATCTGTAAATAATACAACTTATAAAATAAAACAATTTTTATAGTTTAATATCTAAATTCAGTTATTTTCTAAAATAGGAATATGCGTCTCTTTACCTTCGGCAGACCTACTTAGTTTTAATTCGAAACAACCTTCGCAAACAATAACTATAAAGTTTAAAGTTCATGTATAACATCACATTTACACAGATTAAATTTAAAGTAACGTAGACCAAATTATAACCAAACCCAATGAAAACCTTTATGAGCAAATAAAACAAAATAAATGAAAAAGCAACTTCAATACGTATATTCTAGATCAAAGTATCGACGTAACAATATTTTTTCTCAATGCGACCTAAAACTCAGAAAATGGGTCATAAGTCAAAGTAAAAATTAAAATGTCTTAACCTGATTAAATTACAACTTCTACATAAAATTTAAAAAAAAAAATAAAGAATGCATTTTTTCTCTTTATTATAATAAACATTTTTAATAAGAGAACAACCGAAGTTGAATATTCAAAGTAATTTATGTAAACAAAANTATTTTTGATTATTTTGCATTTAATAATAATTTCATAAATTGACTATCATTCAATAGCTAAAAGAAATCTGCCTACTAACAAGCAGAAATGATTTTCACTCTTACCCCATAATCAACCATCTGTGCTCATAGATGGTTGACTATGGGGTAAGAAGCTAGTTGCATAGGTTGAAGATAAAGCCCTTGTCTTAATATCCTTGTCTTATATCACAATAAGCTATGTTTTGTTAGAGCATGCTTCAAATAAGAACTGTTCAAATTCCATTAATATATTTAAATTAATAGATCTTTAATTCAATTTTAGTAATTGAAAATAATAAATTAAAAGTAATAGAAGTATTAAGCAGTTAAATAAGTTATTATATTGCATTTGTATGTTTATAATTATGGAATAACTATTTTCTGCTGTAACAAGTAACAAATATTTGTGTTTAACATAATTTAATGAAAAAAAAATTCTACAACAGTACAAGATTAAATTCCTCAATCTTTGCAAATAAATGTTGAAAATTGGCAACTACTGTATATGCATGTGTTCTACAAAGAACTATCAGTCTAAATGTTTATATATAAACATTTTATAAATGAATCATATACTGTATTTAAAAGAATTTAGGTTCTTAAATGAGTAAATAAAAATAAGTTTTTATTCTAATATTACAGAAATTATAATAAATAAACTAAGGATAGAAACAAATTAGAAAAATTTCAATATTTATTAGATGTTACATTGTTAATATTCTTGAACTATGTAATTTATAAGGATTGTTCTAAAATGAGATCAATTTAGCTCTTTTTTCTTATTTTTGAATTTCAAGAAATTAAAATACTATATTTATTCTAATATACAGCTTGCTATCTGTAACTTTTATCAGCTTGTATCTGCACTGTTTATTAGAGAGCACCTATTATTTCTGTTCTTTGGAAATTAGATTGAAGTGAAAAAGTTAGTGAATTCAGACTTCCAGATCCTATACATTGTAAAAAAAATTTGCTTGATCATATCATATACATGCAACATAATATTGAACACAACTAAATGCTATAGAAGATCATCTGCAGATGCTTGAAACAGAAATGGGAAGTTCTCATATTGATGTGGATAAACAAATGCCAAAATTATTAAATTCTGTCCGAAAACTGATGAAAGATTTAGCTCTTGTCCAACAGTTGACACAATTTCAGTAATTGNTTTTATCAGCTTGTATCTGCACTGTTTATTAGAGAGCACCTATTATTTCTGTTCTTTGGAAATTAGATTGAAGTGAAAAAGTTAGTGAATTCAGAGCATCAATGCAACACTCAACAAATACATATTATATTTCAACATAAAATAAGAGTGACAATGCTAAATAGAATGAAATTGTGAGCCCGAGGGGTTTGAGTTCGAAAATTTTTAGGGTTAACATATTTTTTCATTAGAGGATGGAAAAAAATATAACGGAAATAGATCGGATGTGGAATCTTATACATCGTCCGTTTGTCAATTAGTCAAAGTGCACGTGCTAATTAGTCAGAATAACGAGTGAACGACCTGTTGGCTCAGTGCCAACAACGATTGTATAAAAACGATCGTCACGGGAAGTTCTGGGCGATCGTCCCCTCAGTGCGATGCTCAGGAAGGTCTGAATACAGTGTCTCCCGTCCCGATCCTGTCCGAGGAGAAGCTGGTAGAAGACATAAGCCTGTGACAGACGGCCAGCTTCCATAGTTCAGAAGGATCGTCGCATACCGTCCTCCGACATAAGGTATAACTGACTGCCCATATCACTCTCTTGTAAACTCTCACGCGGCATAGTGAATAGTTACAGCTCCCTTATAGATAAATTTATGTTATCCGCATCTAAGCTATAATCAGTAACTTGTATACTCCTGTAAATTTCTTTAGTTATATAATAAACCTTTATTTTGTTCTTTGTTAAACCTGTCTCCTGTTTATCCGAGGAAACCTGTCGACTTACCGACGCACTCCCCACTCGATTTGCCCTCCTAGCCATCCTACCACTCCGAGATCGGGCTTTACCAGCCTGTGCAGATTAAGTGGTCAGTACGAGATTGACCCCTGACCCACTGCGTATCTCACAAAATTTTTCAGTTTAAAATAAATATTATAGAAAAAAGTTATCTTTCTCCAATACAAAAGCTTAAAGCTGTGCTGCTTATCAGAATAAATATGGTAGAAATAAATTGGCTTTTCAAATTGATAATGAACCTGTTTAAACTAATTTAACTTAGATAATACTTGAATTTTTAGCTCTCTGAAAGGATAATGAGTATTACAATAAACATATCTTGTTTAAAATATAATAAAACTAAATACTGAATAAGAAATGGCTTTAAAATTATTAAAATTTAAAAAGTAAAAGATCTATACTGGATGTAGAAATCAATAAATATATCTATTGCAGATGAAATAACAAGTTATTCCTCTTGATCACACACAAAAACTTGTCAGAATTTCAAGTTTTATTATAAAATTTTCTTTAAAATATTTTTATCACTGAGAAAATAATAGAATAATAATAAATCTGAAGTTCAAGAAATGTATATGTAGAATAGGAGCAATCAATATAATAAAATAATCAAAAAAATTTCCTTTACTATTTTTGATTATTTTGCATTTAATAATAATTTCATAAATTGACTATCATTCAATAGCTAAAAGAAATCTGCCTACTAACAAGCAGAAATGATTTTCACTCTTACCCCATAATCAACCATCTGTGCTCATAGATGGTTGACTATGGGGTAAGAAGCTAGTTGCATAGGTTGAAGATAAAGCCCTTGTCTTAATATCCTTGTCTTATATCACAATAAGCTATGTTTTGTTAGAGCATGCTTCAAATAAGAACTGTTCAAATTCCATTAATATATTTAAATTAATAGATCTTTAATTCAATTTTAGTAATTGAAAATAATAAATTAAAAGTAATAGAAGTATTAAGCAGTTAAATAAGTTATTATATTGCATTTGTATGTTTATAATTATGGAATAACTATTTTCTGCTGTAACAAGTAACAAATATTTGTGTTTAACATAATTTAATGAAAAAAAAATTCTACAACAGTACAAGATTAAATTCCTCAATCTTTGCAAATAAATGTTGAAAATTGGCAACTACTGTATATGCATGTGTTCTACAAAGAACTATCAGTCTAAATGTTTATATATAAACATTTTATAAATGAATCATATACTGTATTTAAAAGAATTTAGGTTCTTAAATGAGTAAATAAAAATAAGTTTTTATTCTAATATTACAGAAATTATAATAAATAAACTAAGGATAGAAACAAATTAGAAAAATTTCAATATTTATTAAACATATTTTATTGCAAAATTCATTATTGATTTTGAAACTGTATTGAGAATTTATAAAATAAATAGTTTCAGTTAATTCATAAAACACTTTGATATATTAAATATGTAAACATTTTATTCTGATTTACTTGAAACATTTAAAAATAATTTTATATTAATTTATTAAAAATATTTAAAATAGTTACATTTTTATTACAAAAATAACAATATAATAGATTTATACTATAATATTTAAAGAAAAGAATAAAAACTTAACTCTAAATTATCATTATGGTGAAATTTGCAAATATAACAAATATCAATTCATTTATTACTTATTTTAACATCAATAAAAATATAAATTTACTTTTAAACTCAAATCTCAGAATGCTTTTTAAAAATATTACTTCAATCATATTCAAAATAACAATACTGTTTATTTATGTTGTTAATTAATCTGTTTTTATGATAGAATTATTCTGAATCATTGATACAGAAACTAAATGATAATCAATGCACGAGACAATAAATATACACTACAACTTATCATATAATGAAATACATCAACTGCTGGCATACCCAGTACCTTACCTTCTGTGCCTACTATTATTGCAGCAACTGGAATTATGTGAATGCCAACAGCACCCTGCCAATTATAATGGGTAACACACAATCCACCAACAGACACAAAGGATGTGACTTGCTGAATCTGAGTAAGAACTTTGCTAAGCTTATTTGGTAAAGTTTTGAGAGCAAAGACAATTACAAAAATACTAAGCACATGAATCCAGCCAATCATGGCTTTGTTATATACAAAATTAAAATTGGCTGCCAGCAATGAAAATCCAGCAATGGAAACCCACCATGTTGTCTTTTTATGAAGGGAGATTAATTTATTAGGTGGAGATGAAAAACCTGTGAATGATAAGAAGTTTGAAATTCCAATAAATTTCATATGTGAAATAAATTAATTTTATAATTAATTTCAAACATATAATAAGATTTTTTCAAATGAATTTTATGATTAGTTTGTATTATATGTTTTCATTAATGACATAATCTTCATGTACTTATGAATATGAAGCAAAATATTTAAATGCTTTATAAAATATCTTTTTATACTTTAACATTATGCAACATAGTATATCATGCATTTTAGGTACAACAGTCAATTTTAACAAGCATTACTTTTAGTGACAAAAATTTGAACCATTAATAAACAAATAAATCCAATCCAATTAATATATAAAGGTAATATATTAAATACTGAATAGATCTTAATTCCTATTTAAGTAATAGGATATTAAAATGACCATTTTCTAAAAACACATTAAAATATTTTTATTACTATAACATATTCTTCACTTTACAGTTTACTGAATCATCTTATAATTGATATGGTTAGTTAATGAACAAGGGCTGTTTTTTTTTTAATTTGATGCTTAAAACATACTCAAATTTACCAATTCTGATCTATATTGGCAATTCCAACAAACTATACAGGGTACTATATAAATTCAAAATACAGAATGTAAACAAGGTAAGTTTATTTACATTGACATTAAATGATGTTTTACTTGTTAATGTATGCATTGCTTTACATTATTTGAAAAAAAGGTAAAAGATTAGTCAGATTTTGGTTAACATGATTCTTATTAGATCATGTTTTCAACTTCCACATTTATTATACATCTTATAGAATCTAGTTTTACTGTTTGTAAAGGATTACATATACATTTGTATTACTGGAAGTTCATAAAAATGCTAACATATCTGTACATTTTATTTGCTTGCTTATAGCAAAGTTGCATTTTAACATAGGTTATTAAATAAAAATAAGCTTGACATTAAAATATTTTAAATTCAAAATTTAGCATAACTCTCATATAACACTGAATTTTGATCACATGGTTTCCTATAACATTGCTGAAGAATTATGGCAAAGCTCTCGTAAGTGTTATTTTTTATGTTTTGTGCAAAAAAATTTGCTATTATGTTAGATGTAATTTTTTGACATTTCCATTCTTTTTGTGAATCTCCACTGTTGATTCACTACCCACTGAAAAACAACAACAAAAATAAAATATTGAGAAATTTGAACACCATTTTATTAGCTGATCTCTATGTTGTGTTGCATGCTACCTAACTTGAACTTGTTTGAAACTATTAAATATAACTGAAATGTACAATTTGTGGCAACAATGCTCAAAAATATTGACAACACAAACATGAACTGTTATTTCTTGAATAGGCATTAATATACAGGGTTAGCAAGAAATAAGTTTCCCACTTCAGAGAGCTCTGGAGTGCGTTCTACTGCTCGAAATGAGACAAAATTTGGACTACAGATAATTCAAATGATGCACTTGATATTTCTTAAATAAAAAAAAAATAGTACAAAAATTTATTGATAGGTGGTGCTGAGTACACAGAAATATTAAATATGCATGCACATATAAATGTTGAATATTGTATATGTAGCACTAAAATTGCTGAATATGTCCTCCTTCATTTTGAACAACATGCTCTAATCGCAAAACCATATTTTTCACAGCTAAACGCAGTGAGTCTGCTGGAATATCCAGAACATGGCACCGAATGCTGTCCTTCAGATCTGGCACAGATGCAGGTCTTCTACAGTAGATGGTGTCCTTCAGGAAACCCCATAACCAAAACCCTTCAATATTTCTGTCTGTTACAGCGCTACCTATTGACGGATTTTTGTACTATTTTTTTATTTAAGAAATGTCAAGTGCATCATTTGAATTATCTGTAGTCCAAATTTTGTCTCATTTTGAGCAGTAGAACACACTCCAGAGCTCTCTGAAGTGGGAAACTTATTTCTTAACTCTGTATTTTAATTTTCTTCAATAAAAATTTTTGATGTCATATACTGTATATTCATTGATATACATATTTGAAAAAAACATAACAGTGTCTCAGTAATTTTCTGGAAGTTTTGTGCAAATTAGTATCTTACAGTTATCTATTTAGTTTTAGTATTTTATGATACAGTACAATTTTATTAGGGAAAATTATTTTTAATTTCAGTTATGAGCCATAAATTAAAAAAAAATGTGTGTGGAATTGCATAAGCTTATAGCATCTTATTATGAAGAAAAATTACAGAATTTGTTAAAAGAAGTTACTCAACCATGCATATAAAATAAAAAGATATAAAAAAAAAATTGTATTCACAACAAAATAAAATCTGATCCAAAATTTTTACTTAATGACTATGACAAGAGATGGATCATTAGACTAGTCAAGAAAGATCCTGAACAGTTATTTGTATGTTTAGTATATTTTGACTAAAAAAAAAAGTTTAAAAATATACACAAATCACTAATGTGGTTGAATATATTTAACACAAACAACTTTGAAATTTTGTTTAGTATTTCAAAACTTTATTAATGTTTTTTTCAAAGATTTTCCTTAAATTTTACTTTATTTGATAAAGTTCATATAATACAACAATCTTAAGTAAAACAAACAATTAAGCAATTGAAGTTAGCAAGACTATAACAAAACAAAGAATTCCCCAGAATTTTTAAAAAGTTTATTTTATAGATTAAAAAGCAAAATTCAAGTGAAATGATGTAAAAGTTGGAAGAAAAAGAATTCAAAGTTTCAGCCTCAAAATGCTGTATGTACTGTAAAGCTGAATTTAAATTCTTGCATGTAGCATCTAGTATGTCTTATGTTTGTTTATGTGCAGTAAAATGACATCACATCCAAGTGCTGAATCCCAAGTGGATATTTTGAGGAAAACTGGCCCCTATTCAGATGTTAGAAATGTGAATAAAACCTGAAAATTGACACTGCCAACCCATTGGTCAGGCATGAATCTACAACCAACTATCAGTGTTCAATAGTTTTGGTCATTGGTAGGCATTGTAGGAGCAAAGTGATTGCCCCTCCATGTTTTTAATTGTTTTAACATGTCTTTTTAATGTCAGTCAATAAAACCAGAATTTCCACTAATTATAGTCTTATTTACTTTTTCTTTTCATATTTTGGTTCTATTCTACTCTACAAAGAGGGCCTTTTTTCAATATTCAGCATAGGTTCATCTAGGCCCGCAATGAAGACAACTAAGTAGTATGGGATAAGGTTCCAACATATCTAGGACAGACAGCCATAAAAATTCTCAGGTCCCCAGAGCAGTAAACTGATGCTTTAATCAGACATCATGGGATTATAACAAATCAAAAATCTGAAAAAATAGCTGTTGACATTTATCAGTACAAAAATTAACATTTAAAAATTTTTATCTGCCTACAATAAATAAAATTCATAAATTTTATTTTCTTCAGTATCTTTATGGAAAAATGTTTCTAATAAAATGTTGTTCAATTTGCTTTTATGTGTAGCTGTCTTTTTTTTTTCTTTTTGCATCAGTGTGAGCAACCTCAGAAGGCTAAAAAAAATTCTGCATTGCAGAATTTTCTTTTCTTATAATATAATTCATTCAAAATAACTTTTTCAAAAAATAATTAAAATTATTTTTAATGTAACTTTTACAAAAAATCATTGTATGTATAATAATAATAATAATTTAAAATCATTGATTATGAAATGTGAAGCAAAAATATATATTTATTTTTATAAAAATTTTAAATTTAATAATCTGAAAATACTTCATTATTTTTTTGTTAAAAATTGAACTTTATAATTCATTTTAATAATAAAATAATGCATCTATCTTATCTCATAGCAAATTAATTTTAAGTTATCAGACTGATATAGAAAGATAAAGTTAATACTGCAAGCTTTACAAGTTTTGCAGTAAAAGCCAGCAGCTTTTACTGCAAGTTTCCTTACAAACTTTAGTTAATGTCAATAAAACAATATTTGTACTACTAAATTGCATACTAGTCTAGAGAATGATTATCTTTAAAAATTAATAATAATAAATAAAATAAAAAATATTGTTAATTGATTGGAAGAAACATTTAGCTGGCTGATTAACCATCTAAAACCAAACTTTGGATAAACATGGCATTAAAACATTCATTTTGCCATTTATATTAGTTATCGAATTAAGAAATAATGATGAATTTTTTTAAATTAAAAATTAAATAAATAGCCCTGTATCAAATAATGTTTCCAAAGTTATTTTTTTAATGTATTTAAAATTGTAAATAAGATAAATTAGATTTTATGTTAATTGCATTTTTGAATTATACTCTAAAAGATAAAAGCTAAATAAAAATTTATTAATTTATTTAAAATACTCACTAAAACGAATTGTTCCCAAAAAAGCAGCAACGGCAATGAGTAAGAAACAGCTTATACCAAATAATGGTGTTTCTTCCAGTTTCAGAGTGGATGAAAAAAAATGGAGATGCCAATTTGCAGATGATTCATGTAATCTCCAAGCTGCTAACAGAGAAGAAACTGCCAACGTTCCATCAGATAAAGAAGTCGTTAATTTTCTTCCCATCTGTAAATAATACAACTTATAAAATAAAACAATTTTTATAGTTTAATATCTAAATTCAGTTATTTTCTAAAATAGGAATATGCGTCTCTTTACCTTCGGCAGACCTACTTAGTTTTAATTCGAAACAACCTTCGCAAACAATAACTATAAAGTTTAAAGTTCATGTATAACATCACATTTACACAGATTAAATTTAAAGTAACGTAGACCAAATTATAACCAAACCCAATGAAAACCTTTATGAGCAAATAAAACAAAATAAATGAAAAAGCAACTTCAATACGTATATTCTAGATCAAAGTATCGACGTAACAATATTTTTTCTCAATGCGACCTAAAACTCAGAAAATGGGTCATAAGTCAAAGTAAAAATTAAAATGTCTTAACCTGATTAAATTACAACTTCTACATAAAATTTAAAAAAAAAAATAAAGAATGCATTTTTTCTCTTTATTATAATAAACATTTTTAATAAGAGAACAACCGAAGTTGAATATTCAAAGTAATTTATGTAAACAAAATTTTTAAAATATGAGGATGATGCTTAAAATGGAATGATCAATACAATGCTATCATTTTGTCAATCAAATATGATCATTAAATATGACCTCTGATTCCTTATACTTTTTTTTAAAATTAAATATATATATATAAATATATATATATATATATCAATTTCAATATGACTTCAATATTTTTCGTGAAACAAAATCGGCAGAACGGAGGAGAAACTAATTACAATTTTCAAAAGGAAGGAAGCGTAATTTACTTATCCTTACTTCTTTAATTAAGTTTAAATCTTAAGTTTTTACTTCTTTTAAAACCAATCTAGTTCTTTTTCGAGGATTAAGGATTACATTAAAATTCCCACAACATCCACGTTCCGCACACCGGAATGTAAACATTTCATATTTGCACTGCCAATGAAAACAGGTTGCCAATTCAATTTTTTTTTAAATTTTTTCTTGTCGAGAAAAAAAATTTCCTTTCGGTTTTTTTTATTTTTTTTTCTTTTCTTTTCCTTATTTTTTAAAATTTTATTAAAGCGTATTACATTTTTAAAGTATTTTTATGTTAACGACCGGATGGCCAAGCGGTCAAGGTGGTAGGCTGCCACCTTGACCGCTCGAATCGAATCCCCCGAAATTTTTCGGGGTGGTCCGTCCGGATATGTTAGACCTCGTCCCTCACCACTTGGCCACCCTATTGTAGGCCTGGCCGAATCCATAATGGGCTTGCTAAAAACGGCCCTCTTAGTGCCCACAGGGCGTAAAGAGTAAAAAAAAATACCCTAACCTAACCTTCCTATTACATATACAGTTTTTTCATTTTTTATTATTTCCATCCTGAAGGCACTGAGGGTCACTTAATCATAGCCATCATGAGTTTGAACAGACCCATAAATGGGACAGCCAACGGTTGGGGGTGAGACCCCAATGTATGATGTATCCGAGATAGACTGCCAATAAAAAATCCTGGGGTTGCTCGCTCTGATTCAGTACGAGTCTGTCAGAGCGATAAGATGATGTCTTAACTGCCTGTCATCCGGTCCTATTTATCTGTGGGCTAAGAAAAATTATTGAAAAATGCAATAAATAATTCTAACTTTAGCGTAATCGAAATTGGATACTTTTGATGGAATGATTATCCACTGCCATGTCTCCACCAATATAGGCTTTTATTGATCTTTTTTCCTGTATAGTATTACCATAAATCCCAATTTTTCGGGATTTTCCCGACTTGGAACGTTTTGAATTGGACTGGAAAATTTTTCCCGAAATGTTCCAATTTGTATTTTTAAAAAGTCGAACAAGCGTTTTAGACAATAAATGCCGTGCATGCATGCGCCGGCTTATCTCACAATCTAACATGAGCACTCCTTTAGTACGCTGTGCGATGGCTTCAAAACGATCGATCATTTCGTGTAATTTTGGCGATAAATAATCAATGATTACATCTGGCCATAACCTAATTTTTTTTCTTTTCTTTTTTTTTGTCCTGCGAGCACTTAGAAAACCTTTATATTTAACTATATCTATTATGGATTCGGGCAGATCCACACAGATGGATCAGCCGGGTTTTCTAACAAAAACAGTTAAAAAATATAACATAATAAAAAATGTATTTACTAACTGATAATTCAATAAAATTAATTTAATTAGGATTGCTCATTTTCCAGAGTAGCTATTATTTATCTAATGCTAGGTACCCATCAATTTTTATCATGCTACTTCACTTACAATGTCCTGATTTCTGGATTTTAAATTACGGCGATCTTAGTCGTATGGTCACTAAGAAGGTCTTTACTCGAGCCCATCTTGGGTTCGCCCGGATGGTAGGGTAGGAGGTTCGACTTAACCAGATAAAAAGACTCCTGGAGTTTTTAATCTGTTCGGACCCCTCAGAACGGTATGCTGACACCTTAACCACTAGGCCATTCAGTCGTCGTTAATATACACTCACAGTAGCAAATAATAAATCTGATATAATATTCCTTCAACAATATTCACTATTTGTAGATTATTTTCATTCGCAATTCAGTTTAACAATTAGCAGCTAAAGTTTTTAATTTTTTGAATTAATCCGATGATTCTGTTTTATATATAAACCTTCCAATGTAAGTTGGTAATTGTTTAATCAGACGAAATTCTTTTTCAGTCAGTTATATGGAGAGACTGCTTTATTACAGTAGTTGTAAATAGTCAATTTTTTTATTTTAGCCCGAGGTATTGGGTTTCCCTTTCTCTTCTACGAATGATTTAAACGTAGTTTAGTACGGTTGGACAACTGCCAACTTACGTTGAAAGGACTACTATAATAATAATAATGATTATACACTAAACTAGTAAAATAGCGAAGTAAATCACATTATATTACATTTTTACACGAAGTTTGCTATCACGAATAAAGAGCTTATCTTACACAAATACCGTAATCATGTCTTGGTCTAGGCGCGTAGCTAGAGGGCCGAGCAGTGACTTGCTGTGTTTTCCCAAATGGAGAACTTCTACTTTCATTATTTATATTTTTACATAAATAAATTTTTAACGTTTAAATTTTGAGTAGTTTTGTACGTAAATTTATTTATTAATTTATTAATTATTATACAGTTAAATCCCGATACCGCGATTATAGCTATAACGACAAGAAATGCAGTTCCCTATACAATTCGTATTGGCTGAATGTAATTCTCCCGATTCAACCATATCCTTAACTGCAATAAATCTCTTTTTGGCGATACATTCTTTCTCTACAATGTAAATAATATATTAAATTAAATTTTAATTTGTTGCTTGGTCTTGGAATCAAGATGTGGTACTCTCAGCAATTCTACACACGAATGTTATCTGCAGTTAGTAGGCATCAATATAGATGAGAGGAGAGTTTCCAGATTTAGCATTTTCTTTTTTTTATTTTAGCTTCTAAATGTTGGGCTGCAATTTGAAAAAATTGTAGAACTATAAATTCCCGCTGTCGTCCGTCCGTTGTCTTTCTTTAATCTTGAGAACGGAGTTAGGTATATGAAAGAAGAGAGCAAATATAAAACCTTGGGAGCAGGAGGTCCCGATTAACTATATATAAACTTCCAATGTAAATCGGAAGTCACGTTATTTCAATTCAAAAATTTTCCCTGAAAGGTGTTAGATAGATGACTAGCATTACTTCATTGTCAAAGAAAAAGTATAATGTACAGAAGCAAGCCATTACTAATTTGAGGTGGAGAGCAAATATTTTAAATTACATAAATTAAAACATGATTAAAAAATTCAGTCCGGCATTGTGATGATGTCAATAAATGGGTTTTAACTTTAATGTATTTTTTAGCGTTTAAAATTATTATTTCTTGCTTTGTTTAGTTGAAATGTTAGTCTTTAAAGAAAAGTCAAGTATTAAAAATCGTTTAGTTGAAATGTTAACTACCTTTTATAATTCACATCTTATTTATATATATCAATAAGATAGAGAAGTTAATAAATGACCCTCACATCCCTTACAGTATGGAACATTGACAAAATAAAACATTTGACTTATTATGCCCATATTGCTTCTCCAACTTTTTATTTTTTTTCTAATTAACAGTTATATATATTTTTTTTATAATTGCTGAATTATTAAAACTAACGAACAATTAAATTATTGTGACATCGTCACAATGTTGGGTAGCAAGTTTTAATCATATTTTAAAATTTATTTAATTTAAAATATAGAGTATGCTCTCCATCTCAAATTAGCAGTAACTTGAACCTGTACATCATACTTTTCCTGTTAGCAATAGAGTCGTGCCAGTCATCTGTCTAACTCCTTTCAGGGAAAAATTTTTGAACTGAAATAATACGACCTTCAATTTACATCAGAAGTTCTTATATAGTTATATAGTTATAGACAATGAATTTGCAGTCCTTTTATAAGGATAAGCTTGATTTGGTAGCCCATCCTTCTTGCGTACCTAAATCGAAGAATAAATTTAAAAACGTGCATATGAGTTTCTGGAACATTCAAGGCCTAGTAAAAAAAAAATATATGATCATTCTATAAAGCAATATTTGTTGTTTCACGATATAGTAGGAATCACTGAAACATGGATGACCAATATAAATAAGTTAGAGAATTTGAATTTAGAGGACGAATGTTGGATGTTATATAGTGCTGCACATAAGACACAGAAGTTTGGTAGACCGGCAGGTGGATTATTATTATTAATTAAGAGATCGTTGGGTCATGTGGTTCAAGCTCGGATGGAGTCTAGGGTCATTTTTGTTTGGATAGAACTAAATTCTGAACTTCAAAAAACGTGAAGAGCTACAACTTTGGGAGTTATATTAATATATATTAACCCAGCTTCAAACGTTAGTAAATACTTTGAAGAAGTTCAGAAGATGATTAACCAATGGAATAATTTTATAGACTTATGGATAATGGGAAGAGATTTTAATGGTCGTATTGGAGAAAAGATGGATGTAATCTATGAAGGTGATAGATTAGATATTGCTAATATAAGAAGTTCTAAGGATAAGATGAATAATTCTACTGGAGAATTATTATTGAGGTTTGTTCAGGAAAATAGCTGGGTTATACTAAATGGTAGAATGTCAGGAGACATGCCTGCCGAATTTATATTTGTGAGTCACATAGGTAAATCAGTCATTGATTATGTAATATGTAATGAAGATATGATACATTACTGTAACAAAATGAAGTGGTTGATAAGGATCAATCTGATCATTTCCCAATTCAATTATCTCTATTAGGTTATAGTTTTAATACATTTACTACAAGATCGGTTTCACAAAAACAATTCAGATCGGAAAAAAGGAAAACTAAAAGATTTAACATACGGTGCTTATTAGAAGATATACCGGGTAAGGTTAATGAGATGTTATGTCAAGGAGTAGATTCAAATCCGATAGTTAATTATGAAAACCTTATTAGGCTTTTAGAGATGTGTCGAATTAACTACTGGCCGGAGAATTTCCCAAGGACTTATAAACAATGTTGGTATGATAATAAATGCTTTTATCATAAGAAAAAGAAACAAAGAAGTTTGGCTCGATTCAGGAAAACAAATCGAGAAGTGGACTGGAAGAAATGTCGAACATAAAGAATATACAATAATTTAATTAAAGCTAAAAAGAGAAGATATTTTGTTGAACTAAATAACAATCTGATAAGAACTAAAGACTCCAAATAATTCTGGGAAATGATCAATAAATTGTCGTTCTGTTGTACAGTACAGACAGAGAGACCGGTAATAGTGCCATTTGCGAAATGGCATAGTTACTTTGATAGTTTTTCAATTAAGTATAGGGATAAGATGGAGAGCAGAAAATTGGAAGAACCAAAAGAGGTTGAACTACCTATGGAAGAGATCTTTAGTGTTCAAGAGTTACAGTTTTATATTAAGAAACTTAAAATCAAATCTGCACCAGGAAGTGATGGCTTCCCGAATAAAGTGATTAAAAACTTAACATTCCCGATTTTAGAATATATCGTCAGCTTATATAATAGATTTTATAATAAAGGAGTTATTCCGATTACATGGAATCAGGTAATATTTCAAATGATATTTAAAAAAGGAGAAAAATTGAATCCAGAAAACTACCGCCCGATTGCGTTATTATCGACGTTCCGTAAGCTTTTGTCATTCAATCCTACTGATGTTTAGATCTAACATTAAGCAGGCAAACACGAACAGTAACAAAAAAGAACTTTATTAGAAAAGGTTAGAACTGTCACAGACATCCTCGGGCGACACCCGGACAAAATCCAACGAACTTTCGCGCCTTTTCTTTTTTGACGTTGCCAGCCACTCTTGTTGGCAAGTGTTGCCAGACAGAGTTCGTGATCCTGGCAAGTGTTGCCAGACAGTGTTCAGGATCTCTGGCGCTGGCGGCCACAAGCTCTTTACATCGATGTTGGCTAGAAGATTAAACGAATGGCTAGACCACGATAATTTGAAGAATCTACTCAATTTGCCTTCGTTAAAAAAAGTGGAACGCAAATAACATTGTTTATAGTACTGGCTATAATTCAGATTCAACTCGAAAGGAAAAAACAAAGTATATGCATTATTTTTGGACCTAGATAAGGCCTACGATTCAATCAGTATAAGAGCCTTACAAAATAAAATGTCTCAATTTCGTGCGGATAATTCAATGATAAAATTAACTGGCTTATTATTCGGCCATTATGAAGCAATAGACACAATGATGAACAAGGTTATCCCTATCCGATAGATCGAGGGTTGCTACAGGGAGACCCGTGGTCTCCACATTTGTTCAACTTTTTTACTTTTGACATTAATAATTGGTTTGATAAAGAAGACGGATTCATGATAGGTGATACATTCTGTTTCTTACGCAGACGACATAGTTATTATTGCGCCCACAGCAGTAGCTCTTAATAGAAAAATTCAAGCAATAACCAAATATTTCGAACAATTGAGAATAAAGATTAACCCAAAAAAATCAAATATAATGATTTTTATAAATGGGGCTAAACTCCCCAGGAGAATTATGTCTTTCTACATTGATAATATTGAATTAAAACTGGTCAATGAAATTAAGTTTCTGGGGATTATCTTGACACCTTTATTGTCCTTTGACAGACATACTAGGATGACGATGATTAAAGCTAATAGAATGATTAATGGTTTAATGAAATTGTTTGCTAAGACACATCTAAGAAATATCCAAACACAGTTTAACTTATTCAATTGTATATAATTCAGTGAGCTATGCATCACCATTTTGGTTTATGGCCAACTATCAGAAGCTAGAAATTATCAGAACAAATTTATTCGAAAATTGTTTTGTTTGGAGTATAAAATTCTGGGGAGTGCTTTAAGATTAAAAGTATTCAGAATTTCAGATATAGTCCCACTGCATTATTTATCAAGAGAAGTATGATATTGCTAATGAAGATAAGAGATAGTGGAGGTATATAACTGTTGTAGCAGATTGAATGGTATAAGACATCTGGACAGAAGAAGTCTAAAAGGAATTGGATAGCCCAAATTTCAAAGGTAATTAATCATTTTGGTTTCTCAATCGTTCCATTTATCTTCTCGCCGGAGCTAAGTGAAAATTTGTGTAGTCAACTAACGCATAGTATTTTAGATATCCTATTAACACGAGACGTAGAGGACAATCGTTTACGCTTAATACCAAATTGGTATGGTTCATTATTGAACTATCCAAATATTAACAATTACATCCTATCGAATTTACCTTTTGTAATAAAACGGTTTTTCATTCAAATACGTCTAAATACAGAAATAATAATGTTAAATAATAAGTTCTCATATGCTGATAATTTATGTCCTAGGTGTAATATGGAATTTTCAAACTATCATTTGTTTTGCCTAAGTGGAAAAGTTATGATTTAAAAAGGAAATTTGATTTGTTAAGTTTAAGTGAGTGTGGATCGGTGGATGAAATGTACTATATATTCCATAGAGCAACAACTCGGTTTATAATTAATTTATATAACTATGTTAAAACTTTTGTAAACAATTAGAAGGAAAATATATTATTGTAATAAGATTATGCAATATGTAATATGTTACATTATAAATGTAAAATATCTCCCATTGTAACAGGCAATTGCCGTATTACAAATAAAGTGTGATTGGAATAATAACATAACATAATGGAGTTTGACTTGCATATGTTAAACATTTTAATATAATACAAATGAAGACATATATTCAATTGTAATTACATGTTTTATTTTTTAACATAAAAAAATTATACATATCAATCTTACATCTAACATATATTAATAGTTGAAATAAATTCTACTAAATACAGAGACTGAGGAAATTATTTTACCATACAAACATACAAATAAATTTTATTATAATTGTCTACAGTTATAAAATAGTCTGAAAAATCTTTCAATTGTTAATTGGACAAAACAAGAAAATTTAAGTTATTTTTTTGACAAAACATTGAATATTTTTTTAAACATTGTAGTAACTGTTATATTGAAAATAAAAGCATCTAAAATTAGATATATAAAATATTTTTTTATAATTTATGTAGATAAATTTTTCTTTACTCTTTGGTCATAAAAGATTAGCTACAATTTGTAAAACAACTATTTTTGTAATTTTTTTGGCAATATGAAAGATTAATAACTTAAGAAACTATAACAACAAAACAAATATAACAAGATAGTAATCACAGTTTAATATTTATAAATATTTACATTTTTTTCTATTATCTGTAAAGTAATTTGAAATAAATACAGAACTGTTTAATACTTTTTAAAATTTTTTAGTTGAGACAATTGAAATATTTTATTAACATAATTTTATATAGTTTCTTTGATTTAAAATATACATAAGTCTGTTAAAGAGAAGTTTTGAGCATAGATGGTAGTCATAGAAAGTTTTAAATTGGTAAATGGTGATTAATACAGAATACGAGCAAATACTTTGAATGTTGTAACTTTCAATAATTATATATATTTTTTTATTTTTAATAATCTATATTTTAGAGTAAGAAAAATTTACTTTTAATATAAAGTATAAGAATTTAAGGAAAACTCTTTTTATGCAATATTTTACACCCTGATAATACCAATTCTCTTTTTCTACTCGTAAAAAAATTAACAAGATTACTTTTGCATGACGATACTTAACATTAAACAGAAACAATTTTAAAATTTGTTTCTTTACATAATTAATTTTTTGTAATCATGTATAAACTAAGTTGAACTGTACTTTATACTTTTAGGACATTGTGTTTTCCAATCCTAAACTTGGAAAAATTAATATTTGGCATTTATCAATAAAATAACAGTAAGTCATGGAAAAACTTTATTAATTTTCTTTTAATTCGGTATATTTTAAACCTATTTTATTTTTAAGTTATAAACTTAATAATTCATTTTTATAAATTGCTTGTAATTTTAACAGAAAAGTAAAACAAGAGAACAAGAAAAAAAAGAAATAAAAATGAAAGTTATCTCTGCTATATACAAGACATTTCTATGTAAAATATGCATATAATGAGTACATATAAATAACAAAAAAAAAAAAACTCAAATGAATTAAAAGAATATATTTAACAGATCAAAACCTTTGGTAAGAAAACTATAATTATCTTCATATATGACAAATCACAAATAACAACTTAAAGAAATTGTGCATAAAACTAGTAAATTAAACTGTATTTTAAGATCAAAAATATAAAAAAAATTAAACTGTATGGGATTTTTGTATTTCTTAAACACAAATGCATGACTGATTTTATTATCACTTTATCTGTGACTATTCATCTCTGGAATATCTCACTCTAAGTCCTTTTACAAAATTAATACATTGATCACAGGAAAATAATAATTACAGATTCATTGAAATGCTATTTATTAGAAATGTAACTTTTTGTTTCCTTTTGCAAATTATTTTTAACTTATGGCAATTGTAAATGGTATTTATGGTTGCCAGAAAGATGTATCTTGATTTATCTAGTCACAGCAAACAGTAAATTACATAAAATTTTTAAACACATCACAAATATACATAAATACATTCAATTTTGACATTTATTATGAACTAGATTACATAACTGTAATTTAGACATAATTTTGAATATTTACTTTGGGATCTGAAACATTATGAGTCGAAAATTGATAGCTTTGGCAGCTAGTAATCTGTTACATTCAGCAGAATCATATAAAGAAAATGGCTGATAGGTACTTTCACATTGGCTCTCGTTAAACTCAAAAGTGTATACTCTAGGATGGATTTTCATATCACCAAAAGGACCTTTTAGAATTATGTAATAAATTCCAAGAGGGCTATATTCAAATAATAAAAGATCAGAAGTATGATATAAATGAATAAATATATTATTTTCATAAATTATCTCACCTAGAGACTTTACTTTTGAGAACAAGTTGGTATGTAAGACTTCTTTCACAGGATTGGGTAGGATCACGTTGATTATCATTAATAAAAGCTTTGACTACCCATTGGTTATTAAAAGCTGTGAAACGAGATGTTTCATAATATAATTTATGAATGAATTCATCTGTTCTGTAAGGCCTGAACTGTAGATCTGAAACAAAACAATCAAATATACTGATACTTTAAATATTAATTTTCTAAATTTTTATGATTCAGTTCATCTTTCTATAAATGTATCTGAATATCAGTTTTCAGATAGATGCTCTTTCTAGGCGTCTTTAAATAAAATAGCAATACAGAATTATGAGATGAATTAGCTAAGATTCAGTAATCTGAAATATAAATGATAATAAGCACAATCAAAGAAATAGCCAAAATCATTTTCTGAACACTCATTGGCTGAAATAAAATTATATATATATATATATAAAGTAAATACAGGTATATATCCAAATTCCAAATTATTCTAAATAAAAAACATGTAAATGCAATGTATCTATTTGCATATATTTATTTTATTTTTTCAAATAATTACTGAGTAAATAAGAGGTGATAAGAAGTTTCATTAATAAGTTCTTGTAGCTAATTTCTGCAATTGCAGTTTTAAAAAACCAATTTCAAACAAAACAAGTAATTATTTATTCTGACATTGTCACAATGTCAGGCTATAATTTTTAATATTATTTTTCATTTATTTAACTTAAAATATATGCTTTCCACCTCAAATCAGTGGCTTGCCCCTGTACATCACACTTTTCCTTTAACAATACTTGTGCTGACATCTTACATCTATTTAACATCTTTCAGGAGAAATTTTTTAATTGAAATAACATGACCTTTGGGTTGCATCAGAGTTTGTATATAGTTAATCAGCATCTCCTGCTCTAAGATTCCATATCTGGTCTCATCTTTCGTCTATCTAACTCTGTTCTTGATTAAGGAAAGACAGATGGATGAACAAACAGAAGACAGTGGGAATTTGTAGGTGTACAATTTTTTCAAATTGCAGCTCAATGAATAATAAAAACCATCATATTTGACTTATCTGGCAAATCTTTCTTGTAAATATATTTCACTCATCAATTTTTGAATCAATTTTTTTGTTTAAAATAATTTTAACACACCAAAAAAAAAACCAGTTTTCAACAAGTAAATCTTATTAAAACTATACTTTGATTCATATTTTATTTGACTACAAATTCCGAAAAATTTGCAATTGGATGAAGACCATTTTAAATTGTTATAACTGATAAATAAAACATATTAGATTCAACAAACACATCAAACTGCTCAAAGCACACCATTAAAATTTTTAAATTTAATAAATATCACAAGTCAAATCATAAAAATCCTATTTTCCTTGGCAATAACAATAGTAGTTATTCATGACTACTTTTAGATTGTATATATTTTATATAATATAAAATATTATACAAAGATTAAACTATTTCTGCAATTATAAAAAATAGCGACAATTTACAAAAATATCAAAAGTGCATAGTCATATATCAGACATAATTTATCAAAATAAAAGAGTAATAATAAAATTATCATCATCAATATTCATTCTTCAATTATAAATGACTACAGTAGAGCATCAATTATCTGACCCCCGATTAACCGTCACATTGGTTAACCGACCATTCTAGTCGGCAAATTTCAAATGTCCACTAGTGATGTGGTGCTACAATATTTGGCTATGTCTTGGCTACTTTAATATTATTTTTGTTAAATTTTTGCATGCTTTAGCTGGCAACACTGGCTCGACCATGAAAGGGAGGCCAGTACTGTATTTAAACGAGACTTAATTTTCTAATTATGAGTGGTTGTTTGTTTTGTGAGCAATAAAATAATTTTAAAATAATTTTTAACGATACAATAGTGACGATAATTAAAAAAAAAAAATTTGTTAGGCTTAACATCGATGAAAATTCA